TAAACCGCACCTTTATCAAGCTTCCTTGCGGTCTGCTGCTGTCTAGCAACCCTACACTCATACGTCGAACACAGTCGGCCTTTGGGGCAGGGGAGCAGAAAGCCCAAGCCCTCGAATGATGTAGGCGGTCGAGGGTCTTCTCGAGAGCGGGTCGCAAACCATGTCGGTGCGAAACTCCTGCGGCGGGTTGCAAGTTTCTTCCTTGAGCTAGCTATGCTAGCTCCTCCGCCTCACGACGTTGCGGATTCCATCTTGAAGTTGGTTTTGGACACGTGCCAGACAACCGTGCAGTGCCCAATACATGTGTAGATACGTCTTTGATATCTAGTTGATGTTCGAAACCAAATTATGCGACAACGTTTAAGTACTGGTTCAACACAAAGGGAAACTTCGAACTAGTAGCCGCCTAATGGTCGTTGAAACTTTGATGTTCACACAAATCAGAATTGCATGTTCGCATCAACCTTAAGCAATAGTTCCTCGCTACATGTGTGTATATGTAACATAAGTATATACAGTGTATATATATATAGTATACTTGAGTTCTTTGTGATAAATCACATACTGTCAGTGCTAAACTTGCATTCGGGCACAAGTCAGTGCTAACACAACTTGTTTGCAATGCAATCAGTACTCAATCATAGGTCACAGGCATCTAAGCCGTGAGTAATACAAGTATGAATCAATAGCTTGAACATCGCGTGTCATTCGCACAGAACCATTGTATAGATACTGCTTAGCAACTAGTTCAACCAAGTGTGTTGAGCATTGTTGAGCTTAAACCTCGATTCTGTGTTATACTCGCTTGGTATTTGCGTAAGTCTCGCTGCATTTTTCCAGACATGTCGTTCATGGAAGCTTAATGGGCTGTGCCTCACGATCATAGGTTAATGCAGCTGCGAAAGCTCTCTACGTATTCACTTGATACCTAAGTCATGCTCAGCGCAATACTCGCCGAACATGCGAAACAAATAAATATACAACTTAACAAATATTCCTTTAAGATACTGTGCGATAACGTATTGTTCGAGTTAGGCAAAGAGCATTGCATAATTTTAGTCACTCGCGAGAATGTGGTGCGCGTTTATGCGTTTTCTGTAATTTCCTTCTCAATGAAGCAAGCGGTAGTCACTATCGAAGAACACACTTAGCGCTTGACTGAATGATTATCTGACTTGTTCGATGAACTCGAGCGAAACCCCCGTTTGCTCTGCACCCCCTTCCCCCCTCTCTGGGGCCGCCCCTCTCTCTGGGGGGCTGCTCTCTGCCCTTGGGCAGCCTAAAACCGAAGGCCGCGACCCTGGCCCCCCAACTCTCCTTTTCCCTGACCCCGGCAACAAGCCCGTCACCCTGTCCCCCCACCCCCTGCCCCCCCCTGGCTCCCCCTGTGCCCTCCCCCCTTGTAGCCAATATTATCTTCCTCAGGATTGACTCCTTAGAGAGTACTGGACACAGTGTAATATCCCTGGACCCTGGATCTAAAGGCAAGTGCCCTGCACACGGTCAGCAAGTGTTTGTCTGCTACGCAGAGAGATCGAGCTTGGGTGTCAAAGATGCCAGCAATTGAGCAGTCTCGGCCACAGCGCTGACCCGTGCCCGATCAGCAGCCTTGCGCTTCCCCACCTCGGTGGGGTGACAGGGTTCACGTTTAGGATTTCAGGTTAAAGGTTTAGGGTTTCGGGTTTAGGCCAAGGTTAAGCACGCGATCATGGGTCAGCGAAGGTGCGATTGACTCGAGATGCTTGTCGGTGACCTCCCGCACTGAACCCAAAGACGCCAGCGCTTGCGGCACAGCCTTGACCGCTTCCATCGAGGGTAGATATGCGTCAATGCGCGCAGCCCAGCCATTCTGTAGCGGAATTGTCTTGCCGAACCGTGCCTGGGGCAGATGGGGCTTCAAAAGCGTCCGAAGGTCGCCCTGTGTCTTAATACGCTGCTCCGCCGTGAACTGCAACATGAAGGAAAACAAACGCTCCTCTGTTTCCTGCCCCGAACGCGTCGCTTCTGCTGCCGGCGGCGGTTTTTCGGGACAAGCAACTGGAGCTCCAACCTCACAGATCTGCCGCAACGGCTCCGCCAGGCCCTACAATTATTCATAGATTCAGAAATATAGACTGTTCATGAAAAATCATAATTCTAGAGTATGTAAGCATGAGACAGAGGATTATGAAACAATCAGCTTGCATGGATATTTGCTCTAGGGGATGCAATAACCCATGTTTGGCAAATGCTGTTTGTCACTGAAGCTGTACATGTTTAATTTGGTGGCTGTGGCCATCACCTGTGCACATGAAGTTTGGCAGACACACACCGGTGGAACAAACACACGAAACGAAACGTGTAGGCACATTGGGTTGTGTAGTAGCGTAGCATGATCAATATATGTATGTAACTGCTTGTTGTTCGATGCTATTCTACAACGCCATGAAACCATAGTTGGACACCTTGCCATGTACAGCCTGTCGCGGCTATGTGTAGCCCATGGAAACTTGCATGGATCGGTGTCCTTGGTCCGCTCTCGCACCCAGATATAGTCGACTTTTCCTGGCATCTGTGTCAAGAGATTTCTCGGGGCCGTGCAGAGTGTCAGAGGCCCTCGCAGCTACCATCCGGAGCCTACATCCCTGCAGAAAAGCGAGAATGCACACGATATCTCACGTGCAACGAACATGGATTCCAGCCTTTGCCCGACGATTGGCCTTCGTCCTGAAGGACTTTCGGAAGTTGGGAGGTTGGCTGCCAAGGGTTCTCTTCTCATCTCTGCGCTGTTTTGCGGCTTGCACATCCCGCAAGGTTCGGCTCAGAGGCATATCTGTAACACTATGTTATAAATCATAAGTGCGAAGATTCTGTGATCATGGGTGAGGAGTTGAAGGCAACAAGGCAGTGAGGACGCCCTGCTTCGCGGGCATCTCCGGGCCTGCTTGTTCGGCGGGCGCGAGAGCTGAGGCAACTCCAAGGCGCGCGGCAGCGTGCTGTAGTGACTGTGCCTCTCAGGTCCACTGGCAGCTACCAGATGCCAGCTACCAGATGCTGTCTGTGTCGGTCGAGAAGCGAGGTTTCGACAGGCAGCTTGGTGAAGCTAATACTGGCCATCGAACCACAGGAAACCCACACAATCTCCAGCCATATCAGAATCCCTTGCTCAGCTGTCTGCCTTTCCCCGTGTCCAAAAGGACATCGAACAACGCCTGCAAGGTGATCGAGAACCGGGATGTGACAGCAAGTGAGTGGCTACGACCTTGTACTAGCCTGGGTAGCTGCTTTCAGGGGCGACAGATGTGCCTTCACTTCGCCCCTGTTCTGCAAAATCCTCGTTGAAATCTGCCTGAGCACAAGATGCGTGAGTCTCGTCCCGGCAGGGGTCTGGAAAGACAGTCTTGCCACGTGCGGTATTTCGTAGTTTTCATTCGCGTTTCAACGCAATGGGCTCAGAACAGTGAATCACGATGCCGAGTCTGCTTCTGCCATGTCCTGTTCCAGTTGGACATCGGAAAGCCATTCACCCCCGTCCAGGCCGCGTGCTGTGAGGATCTCTACATCTGCGGAACTCTCCTGACAGCAGCTTCCCGCAACAACTGCTGGAAATCGGTGTTACGGGCACGTAAGCCGCAATCTCGATACCCACCTACCTACCCATCCCCAAGACAATTTCTGCTTGAAGCGCGCTGCCCTCAGAGCCTTGCGGCCGGTCTGTCCTAAGCAGTTCGGACTTCTGACACTGAGGCTCCACCCGATCCCAGAGCCCTTTTCCGGCTCATCTCTGCCCTTCAGAAATCGCAAAAAGATATTCCTCAGAGATCTTCTGAGTTGAATCCCTGCAGTCCTTTGAGGCAAACTCTGCAAAGGCTTGGAGCTGCTCAGGACGACCCCCTGTCCGGGTTCGGAGCGACACTGGCGCGTCGATGCTAAACTTCAAAGGTTTTGCTGACTCTTGACCTTGGGACATCGACATCAAGATCTAAGGTCAAGTCGATCCCGACTGTCCCGGTCCACTGAGGGGCTTCGTGTCAGATCCCGAGGCAGACGTGCCTTTCATGTGCCCGTTGACCACGCGGATCTTTGCCCCACATGGGTGCTCCAAATCAACACCTGCTCGTCCCACAAACGACCCCGCGAGATGGGCAGCTACCCTCTATTCCGAGGCTACTGACTTGCAATCACTGAAGAACTCTGCAAGAAAGCAGGAGCTCCGGCAGTTCCAGGGATGCGAAGTAGTCCATTGCGTCCTCTACTGCTCCGGCCTCCAAGTGCGAAGCCTCACAGACTCAGAAGCGGCGAGTCTCGATAGTACATAAGCCGGAACTGTGCAACTGGCCCATGATGTTGCAGTAAATGCACATGCAACGCTGAGGCCGTCTGGCCCATCTTGGGAATAGCAGTGTATTCAGCCCCAGAAGTGGTTCATAGGTATGGTCTGGCCTTGATGTTCGCCAAGGATCCACTCCGGAGACGTCTTGAAGGCACTGCTCTTCACGGCAATCAGCAAGCCTCGCTACGGGCTCCGACGGTGGAACGCCGCTGTGCTCTGGAAGAGGGCTTTGAATTCGTCTGCTCTCCGCTTTAAGCCGCTTTGCGCTCTCTCACACTGTCTCACACCTCAAGCTGTGCCAGCCCAAATGACCGTCGGGCGGTCTCCGGGAGTGCTTGAAGTACTTTGCCCGATATCCGCTCCCCAGATCCTCAAGTGCTTTTGCACTTCACCATCAGAGGGATTGAGGGGCCCGGCAAAGCCGTAGAGATTCATACAATGATACACGGCAGGGGAGCTTTCGAAGTCGGAACACAGCTCCCACATCTCTTGTCAACAGCTCCCAGATTCAGCCTGAAGGAAATGAAGGAAATGAAACGCATCTGAGAAACGGCGACAATCCTGCCGGGTCGCGCAAGAAAGTGGTAAGTTTGATGAGGTTCATGCGGACCCAAACACGACAAACCGTGAAGTGCACGGCGAAAGCTCGCCCTGCGGACAAGGCACGAGTCGAGTTCGGTATGTTCTACTTCTTGCAGGCATAGAACCTCAGATTGAAATAGATTCGGTCTTGCTTTAGAGGCCTGGTCACTGCCGAGCCGGGATGCATCAAACTGTCCTCGCTGCAGAATGTCCTTGGCTTTGAAACAATGTGTCACGGAGCTGGGACTCCCGTGTCCGACAGATAGGCCTGTTGGTCCAGTCCAGGAAACACGATGCTACGGGGGAATAAGGTACCGAAAGCTCGACCCGTTACTTCTGAAACTGTGGGTCCTGTTTTGACATGAGCCTAAGCACACGCTTCACATCGGCATTTGTAAACACTGCCGATTGCACCCCTGTCACTGTCCAAAAAACGAGCTGTCTGGTGCTCTGCAGAAAAGCTTCTCGCATCACCGGCCAGCGCACCGGCCTGACTGCAGGGAACTGCGAGATTCGCAAGTCTTCATTCTCGGCCCAGTGTCGCGTCTGTCTCACACGAGCGCAGTGACTCGATCGGCTAGTGCAATCTAGAGACAGTGACAAACATGCACAAACTGGCTACTTCTTGATTGTTCAAAGGCATCAACGACAGAGAGCCACATTGCGGCTGAACCGAGTGCCATACCAATTCGAACTACCGTCCGCTGCCATGCCTTGCTGCTCCTGGTGCATGATGCCACGTCTAGACTGTCATGTCGAGGCTTCATGCATTGCAAGACGGGCAGAGTTTCCAATCTTGCGCCGACTGGCGAGAAGCCCATTGCCAACGATGTTACCTGTGGTACACCATGGTGCCCGCGAGAAGCCCATTGCCAACAATGTTACCTGTGGTACACCATGGTGCCCTCACGACCGACTGGGCACAAGCAAGACCAAGAATCCGCAGATGCACGGAAACCAAAATCCCCAGTACGCATTAACACAGTTGGTTGTTGCCGCGAACATAGGAGACACATCACTCATGTTCATGTGACGAGATTCAGGGCTGTCCTTCCATTTGACAGCGTACGTTGGACAGAGCCTTTCTAAAGGAAGCCATCAAGCGTGGGTCGACCGGACAAGGGAAAAAATTCTGTCCGCTGCTGTGCTGATACCATCCCGCGTGTGAACACTTCTAGGGCCCGGGCAGATTGTATGTACCTGACTGCGAAAGAACGGTTTCCTGCTGTATGGGCGGTTCTAGCTACGCGCTATACTGCCGCACACTGGGGGGAAGCTGTCTACGCGGACATATCCCGAGCTATGATGGTTTACCCAAGCATATGCGCTAAGCCGCTACGCAGGCCTATGCCATTCTATCTTCTAGACGGTCAAAGCCTTTACGTATGTCTTCGTACATTTAACAGGCCGGTTGCATGGACGGAAACAAACACCCCTCACGTCTCCGAACCTTCTATAACAAGGCCCTCAAATCCTCAAACCAACAGCCTAAAGCCTAAGCCTAAACCCGAAAACCGCAATTGAACGAGGACAAGACAGATGTCTGCGACGATGTTGATTTATGTCGGAGGTTCCGATTTATATAAGCTCCCACATGGAAAATCAAAAAAAGCTGTTCAACTGGAGTGGAACTTTCGCTTATAGATGTGTTGTGTCTCGAGTTGCTGGTGGCCTAGCTGTCATGGAAAGTGACTCTGTGCTGATCTTCAGTCATGGGTCGCATCATCCAAAAAGAGTACACCCTGGCACTCCTAGTGCAGTGGCATTAAATGAGCTGCAGAGCGGCATATCGAAAATGTGGGAGCTTGTGGTTCGCACTGGGCACGGTGCCTGCAAGCGACGACAATTGCGATTGCCATTATTTTCCACTGCAGACTGCATGTGCCTTGGGCAATCAATCAAGTGTCTGGGCTGTATGTCATGCCTTGTCATTGTTAGAGTCCAGACTTGCAAAGTGAGGTGCAGGGAGCAAGGATTCTAGCTGCAATTCCGGAAGCCACCTCAGGCCCAACCAGCAGCCACAACCGGCAAAGGCGAAAGGGGCGGCCCGACCTCTGGTTCACGTTTAGTCGATAGATTAGAAACGCTCACAACAGGATGCGGAAAATACAGCCTCAACGCCATGCATGATTTGCAATCGAATCCAATCGCTAAGCTGGCCCACCAGCACGGCGAGCCCACATGTGCCGACGGCCTCAGTGTGCGCACACCTCACAGTCAACAAGCGCTCCTCGCAATTAGAGACTTGGTTTCTCGCTGACACTCGGCCTCCCAACCCACCTTTGGACCCCTGGAGCTTGATGGCTGTCAACAGCTGCGGCACGTGACCGTGATCATGGGAAACTTGAACAGGCAAGCCTTCCTGAAGGGACACCCCTCTTGCGCAAACCAACGAAAAGGCAGTTCGCCCACATCACGCAGCGACAGACTCAGTCGACGCCTCAGCCGATCCCAGACCCTTTCCAGGCGGCGGTCGAGCTCGGCACTCCGCTGCATTGCAGCTTCACTCGTTGACCGTTTCACGTTCCGCAAAAAGTGCCAGTGGCAGGTTTAACTAATAAGATTCATCTTCTCGTTCGGCGTCTGCTACGACAATGCCACATCTCGCCACCGTGCTGCCTCGAGTTTGTCCGCCCGCCGAAATGCCACTTTGACCGGCATGTTCCATTTGCGATTTGAATAATCCACTTGTTTGCGGTAGAACAGATTTGCACAAGTTTGCCCAGCCTGGTTGTTGCTCGCTGTGCGATGCAGCGGGCATTTGTGCGGCGTTCACACCCTGTGACGGCTCTGTGAGGAGTTTGGCATAAGAGTGGATTCATAGCCTAGCCAGGCATGCAGATGATCACACAGGTCGCCATCTCGCGGGCAACATGCCCCAGCTTTTCAATCCCACGGGCCTGCTCCGGGATGAATGCAGCGACCCCCGCGCAGAAGCCTGGCACATCTGCCCGACGTTGCTTTCGTCGAAATCCACCACATCCAACGCCTCCCAGCAGATGCGGCTTATGGCCCACCGCCCCGCTGCTCTGCGCTTGAGAACAGCACCAAAAGGGGGCTTCCAGTGCTATGCGGGGATGCTGGGCCTGCGGACCCTCTCCCTCAACCTTCCCTCAGCCCCAAAACCCCAAGTTCGAAGCACATCGAACGATGCTGATTTATGGAAGCCGAGAAACAGCTTTCAAAGCACGGCTGCTTGTCGTCCTCGGCTGTCGGAGCCACGACCCCGACGTCGCTGACAGACAACCAGGAGTTGGGAGCGATTGCGAGTGAGTTGGGAGTGAGTTGGAAGTGATTTGGGAGAGATTAAACAGAACAACACTGTTTCATCTGCAGACAAAGGACAACCAGCCGACAAAGCGGCCACCCCAGCAAGCACATTAGCCCATCGCCCCGCTGTCATACGCCATCAAGTATCACCGATAAAACTGCATCCTCCCATGCGCCGGACCGGATGCAGAGAGTCTCTCAGATTGACAAACCAAGATCCCTACCGAAACCCTAATGCCCTAAACCCTAAGCCCTCGCTTGACCGCAGCCCATGGCCGAGCCAGGTCCGCCTCTCTCCTGAGTCTTCCAGCTCGCCGAAGACCTGCGATGTCTTCTGTCCCGAGCTCGAATCCGAAGTGAATTGTCCATTCAGCCTCGCCGGCCTGAAAAGGTGATCTTCGGAATCTTCGGAGGGCCCGTAATCTCGAAAAAATGCCCTGAATCTGCCAGACCACACAGCATGAATCCCCAGTATCGGGTTAATTTGCATGAATTGGGGGTGTTCTTTTGATGAATCCCCGCTAAGGGCGTTAAGGCTTTTTCAGATTCTGGCCTGTTGACCAACTACAGTAGCTATTATCCGATACATACCAGAAAAGAGAAACGCGAAGCACATGTATCTCCGTGTGACCGCCGGAATTATCTGTTTTGTCTCAGCATGCGGGCCGCTGTTGCGAGCTCGTTGTTCCACTACGTGCCTATGCGAGGGCTGCACGTAATGTAGCGACCACATGCATCTAGCAGATGGCGCATGCAGAGAGCTTCATTCTGCTACGTGATCAATAAGTCTTCCAGTCTCTGATCGCGTCCCATCTGCCAGTCGCGAAGACGGAAGGCCAATCATTGGGAAGACTTCAGACCGCCGACCGGGCCAACTGGCTCACAACACGGATCCGCCTGCAGGGCTTACAGTAAGCAATCACACCACAGTCGCGGCTTTCGGATTGGAACGGGGGAGCTGAACATGCAGGGGGTGAAAGGCATCAACATGGCAACAAATGCCAGGCTGCGATGCGTTCCAGCCTGCTGCTTGTGTGTTGAACCATGATTTACGAGGGCCGCGGAGCCAAAGATTGAGACGATGAAGACCTCTGTCTCTAGGCGAGAATTTTGGCTCGCACGACCATGCAGTTTGCCTTCCAGACGATGTTGCACTAATAATATTATTGCCACCCAAAGCCTGAGTGCATTGTTCAACCGAGGGGCGGAAAGAATCACTGCACACACCACCTGGAGGCAAAGCAGAGACGCACAAAGCCGCTCTAGCAAACAGCATGGCAATGGTCACAACTATGCAAGCTGCGAAGGTTATAGACATTTGTCTAGTCGCCGGCGGCCAATCTTAATCTCGCAGCAGCTCCCACTACGATTCACAAGCGTTCCATGCAACCGAATCAGGACACAGAGTGACACGCTGCCTGGGCCTGGGGAGGAATATCAAGGCTGTGCTTCTCCGAGTGCTTTCTTGACGTATCGCAGCCAGTGTGCAAAGACACAGCCGAGTAACAGGGCTCTGTGGTCACGTCATGTCTCATCCCTTCCCGGCCTGGGGCGGCAGCACGAAGTAGTCCGAACAGATGAGCTCGATGCCGATAAACACCAAAATGCAGCACCTGGGACTTCGAGTCGCTCAGCTGTCGAGTTCTCAGCATCTGCAGGACAGACTGTCCTGGCGGACGCACGGCCGCAGAATATCTGAGCCCATCAAAACTAAACAGAAGGATCTCATGACAAGACCAAACAAATTCAATGTTGCCAGACACCCGATGTAATCTCCCAAAGACATGGGGCAAGCCGTATTTCATCAGCTCGAACATGGCCACGAAATCCTGGACGACGAAGAACATAGCACGCAAAGCAAACATCCTCAGAGGAGTCTCTCGAGAAGTGTTAGCTTCTTTCCGAATCCCTTCGTTCACACTCGCGTCAGATTTATAAACAACTCGGGTCGTCGGGTCCTAGAAATCCAGCATCGGTTTGCCATTCTGCCGTCATTTCGGAATCAAGTCGGCGTCAGTTCGAGTTGTCACTGTCTTGTCATGCAAATCCTGTCTACCCTGCTCCATGATAATATATGACATTAAAAACTTCAATACTACTTGGAAGAATGGGTCCTAATTCGCAAAAAGGAGGCTTGCTACCATGCTTCAAGCGGGTTTGAGAACCTAATCTTCGCCATCCAGCATAAGAGGCTCCGATCGCCACGGCTAGTATGCAAAGTACCTCGCGACTTCTTTCGGACATTCGGCCGAGTTTCTGTGGCGCCTTCGAGCTGGATACTTGAGCACAGTTTGCTAACGCGGACAGTCTTGGCACTTACAAAAGAGCCATTAAGCCATCTGGCTGCTTTCTGGGCACTGGAGCAGATATATCTACTTCTGGCTGGGTCTTGCTTGCCGTGACCAGAAACACGGCCATGCTGCTCGCCAGCATGCTGTTGTCCCGAGGCCAACTCAAAAATTGGGTTCAAGCGGCGCCAAGATGGAGGAAGACACCGAGATCCAGTAGTCGGGGATCTGGGCCGCCTTTCGACATTCAATTTCTAGCACGGATCCCCCTGACTTCGGCTCAGGCTGCCTGAGCTACAGAAGCCTCAAGTCTTCCAGAGGCTTTCTTCACCGTAAAGCGGACCAACCTCTCAGTTTTGCCGCTATGCGTGCTCTTGCCTTTGCTCTGCTTCCGAGAAAGCTCAACGACTTCATAGGGGAGTGGACTGTGGGTCTGTGAGCATCTGTCGGTTTGTCTGAAGGCTCGCTTGCCGAGGACTTGGACATGCCTGAACTTGAAGTTATCGTTGGGACGAAGGAGCAAACCTCAATACAAGGCCGTCAAGCAAGGACACCCGGAGACAAATCAAGGCACTGAACATCAGGAACAAGAGATATTCAAAGATGACGTAGTCTTGTCATTGTCACACCTTCGGCTCGTACTTTTCTGACTTCGACGCAGGAGCGTCATTTTGAGTCATGCTTCTTTCAAAATAAAGCCCCGTTGGCAATGACTGGGGACGACCAACCGCCTTCCTGTTGTTTGGGCAGCTGGTTTACATTTACATCCGGAGGCGTGGCCTTGGCGCTGACGCTGTCCTGAGATGTACAATCGAAGCCAGCACCGGCAGGTTCAAACTGGGATTTTCTGCCACTCATCTTCCTGCAGTCAAGGATCGAGTGCAAAAACCACGTCGGTTATCTCCAGGCCTGGCAGCGGAAAGGTGACCCGGCGAACACCAAGTGGAATGGCCAAAATCATAGAGTGCGGATCTGAAACCATCGCTACCAGGAAGTTAACCATGTCCAAGTCGCAGCACACCACAGGCAGCAACAAAGTGAAGGCCAGCTTCCCGTCGCTCCACACGATCAGGTTGCCCGCATCCTGCGACAAACACCGTCTGAATCTACCCGCGCAGATGGCAGGCGGCACGTCAGATTGCCCCATTGGCCCATCTTGCGCCTCACGCCGTGAATTTCACACAAGCGTGCCTTTCCATAGTGGTCCAGCAGCCGATTCCCCAACAGCCAGCGGAGAGCCCTTACCGGAGTTGTGTTCACCGCCTCGCCCTCCTGCGAGAACCGGGCCGAGCACAAGATTGCAGACTCCCTTCAGCCTTTGCTGAAACCCACCCTGCCAGGCCCAAACACTAATCCTCAGACTAGCCATCTCATACCTGAGTTGCACCTGATTGTGGTCGAGTTCGCCACATGCTTAGGCGAAATCTTACCTGCGGCTCTCCAGTACTTTCCCGACAGCCTCCTCTTCCTTTGCAGCTTGGACACCACTCCTGAATCTCAGCCGCTCAGTCTGTCCCGCGGACACTCAGATTTTCGTGCATCTTTGCTTTCGTCGCAGAAGTTTCGTTGCAGCAAAGACTTCATGTTCCTTCTAGCTCCGTTCTCCCACGCGCGAGATCCTAAGCTCGCTCACAGGGCAGAGCTTGTAGGCCCGCGATGAAAAGAACACCGCCCCGCACATGGGATTTGCATGCCATTAGCGTGCCTTTGCGCACCTGCTGTTTGTGTGCATGCTGGCATCGACACCGGGTAGTCCCAACATTTCCCAGCAAACACATCCGCTCAAGATCCCAAGGACGGAGCAAGAAACTGGAACAAACATGCAAGTCGTCACAGTGAAACTTCGGAAAATCGTGCACTTTTGGTTCGCGGAAGCGCTTCTGGTCGAAACTCAATGAGACCCATAACGAACACAAGAAGCAGTAACTAGGACCCTGACATGCAGTCTTGCCAAGCTGCCATATCAAGAAGATGCCGAAGACGATACGCAGCCAGCTAACAAAATCCAAGAGCTCCCTGCGCCCGCATTCAGGGTGTCACACGAAAGACTTGGCGGCTTAACGCGACGTGTCACAGCACCAAACTTACGAGAGGAGATTTCAAGTTCCTCTTACGTCGCAGGATGGGGGCAACTTCTGCTTGACAGAACGAGGACCGTCTAGGAGTCTGGCCTGACGATGGCAAAGAATCCCAGGCGGCAAATCACGGCTCCAAAAATTCCCAGGAAGAGTGCCTCTGGGACACAAGTCTTCCCGACAGCGACAGCAGGAAGGTCACAATGAAGCATCGTTGGCCGCTGTCTACACTTGTGTGAACTGAACCGCGAAAGGCATTGCTCGGTCAGACAGTTGCTAACTTCCGGTTTCCTCTCAGTGGAGAACCTCTAATGATCTAGGGCTGAGAATCTCGCAGCAGGGCTCGGGAGTTCTACCCGTCCCTTTGAGACAGAGCGTAGAACCTCGAAAGGCACCCAGCGTTCCTCTTGAATCTACAATCCTAGTGGGAGAGGCCGAGGCTCTCAGGGACTTCGGGCGGCTGGGAGTTAGACAGGCCCCAGAGGACTCTGTTCGGAGAACGGATCTGAAGGCGGTTCACTATGCCAACACCTCTGGTCAGGTAAAGCTCCGAATAATTCCGAACACCCGAACTGTTCTTACACCACATACACGTTTGAAGGGACAAAAGTTGAGTTCAGGCCCACCGCACGGATGGGAACCCCTCTGGTCGGGATCCCATACGGAATGCGCGAGGTGAATGCATCCGCCGTGATCATGCCGTGACTTCCAGAAGTTTTGCTAATCACAGAACTTGAGGACTAGGGTATCCCACTTCAAAGCAAAGGAAGTTTAGCAAGCTGCTGCAGGCAGGACCGCTGGTGAATTTTGGTGGTCACGGGACAGCATTGTCACGGCTGGCATGACTTGCCCATTCCGTAGGGATTATACTAGTCACGGCGGTGCCGAGGAGGAGGGAGGATAAAATCGATCATGGCCCGAGACCGTACGCGGGATACACAAGTTAGCGATCGCAGGCAATAACGAACTCAATGTAGCTCATGCAAGGGGCGGGTCTGGCGTAAACATTTGTGCGACAAACAGTGCCTGAAGACTTTCTGTGATTCTTGGACTGCGCGGCAGTGGCTCCAGCAAGGACGTGGCAAAACATCGACAGATGATATCCCTGCATCTTCGGATCTTCTTGATGGACATCTCTACTCCAGAACGAACCGTAATCTAAAGGGAAGCAGGAATAAGCCTTGTGCACCACCTGGGAAGGTGTTTTGTAGAGCTGAAAGATCAAATGAAACACGAAGAGGTTGTCCAGCGACAGAAGCCACTCCTTGCGTACAACTAAAGCAGACTGACTGCAGCGACAGCAAAAGCCGTTGCTGCTACATCTGTCTCATATTGTAGTCCAGCAGCCAGAACATATCCATTGAACCATTCGAAACCTGAATCGACAGGTGAGCAGCGGTGCAGCGCAGCAACGGCATGGGTCCATGCTCCGACACTTCTAGTAGCGATGGCGTCAACGCACCTGCCACCGGTCCATGACGAGCGAAGACGAAGGCGTTGTAGCCTGCAGCTGTGGCTATTGCAGCAGGCGCCACAGCAAGACTTCTTCGGACACTGATTTTGTGATTGTGCTGCATGCACAGGCTGAGCACATGTGGCATTGGGATTGCATCCGTCAAGAACGCGTGCCGCGAAGACAACACAAACCCAGTCCCTGCCTAGTCCGACGCAGACCCAGAAGGCCACCACGCAAAGGTGTGCACGGAGGCCCTTCAAGGACAAGCGCTGGATGGCAAGGGCATCAAGCAGCCTCAGAGAAAAACTGACACAAGTACTCATGAAAAGCCAGGAACACTCGATGAGAGGAAGCACAGGATGCCGAGTCCTTCACGAGCCTTGATCGAAGGCTCGCGTCTGAGCGCCGTGCACGACGACCAAAGACAGCCCGGCCAAAATCGCCTGCAAGAGGCTGGATGACACCCCACCCACCATCAAAGCAAGTGAGCACCCGCGGCGATCTCGGCTCATGTGTTGTCTCCGTGAGGTACTGGCAAGGTACCGGATGGCAACGGTAACCCATCCTATCGAGCAGAGACATGCCTCCCCTTCTTTTGCAGCGGAAAGAGGTCTTTATCGCGGCGCGATGTCCAAACCACATTGCCGACACATGTGGGGGACTCAAGAATGGAAGAGCACCGACACACCAAGCCTTGTCTGTGGCTGTCCATCGCGAGTGGCTGCGATGAGCTGCCCTCGTTTTTGCAGACGTTTCAGCTGCCTGCAGCCACTGGGAGTATGGTCAGCGCCCATGTCTACAGTAATCTGCCAGTTCATTTCGGATGAAAGGATGTGCGGCTGCTGCTACACCCCTTCGAGTCCTGACGAATTTCGATTCACCTGGGTGTCCACAGTCACGTCCTGGCCTCTCCGAAGACATCGAACCAAGACCAAAATCCTGGGCGGAGGCTCTCACTTGTGCTGAGCCAAGGAAAAGTACAGCTTAACGTGGAGGACATCTACGTTCCTCACCACCCTTGCTCAAGTTAAGCCTCAGCCTCCGTCCAAAGTCTCTAAGCCTACTCCACGGCCTGCACCTCTGAAGACACCTGACCTTGAGTATCTCAGAATGCAAACATCTATGTCCACTGCAGACATAGCTTCTCAAAGCTTGTTGCATGACATCCGGCCGAGCTCCGACGACGGATGCGAGCCTTGCAGCGGAGGGAGTCGGGGCCCTACCCGAGGGGCTCCGGCCTCACCTGGGCCTCGGCTCCCTGTCGTTGTGCAGTTCGGTAACGTTCGGCAGGTCCTTGAGGTCCTTGACCTGCCAAACGTGATGCCGGGATGTGGCATGGCGCTGCGCAGCCTCGCGACTCGCGACGGCCTTCAATGTGGTCGCTCGCTGGATGAGAGCGTCACCCTGAGAGCGGACCTGCAGCACTGCAGGAACCTATAGCAACCTGAACTTCCACAATACACAAGGCCAGTCTGGAGAGACAGTCAAAAGATGTTGAACCCCCCATCCTGGAATAGTTGCATAGCACATTGCCTAGCAACTCCGTTGTTGAATCCCCGAACAGGACTTCGACCACAGCAGGTCAGCAGCCATCGCTTCTTACAGATGCAGGAAGCTCCAGGCCTTGGGGCAGAATGAGCCGGTTTCACCTTGGTAAGGCATGACATTAGGCTTTAGGCACTTTAGGCGGCCTTAGACCTCAGGTCCAGTCACGGCGAAGGCGGAGAGGAGCGAGAGACCTACCTGCAGCCTGTCTGTGAAGGCAGCGATGTCTCTCTGTAAGCCAGTGGCCGGCAACGATGACCTGTCGGGTGCTTGGGTCACAGGCACATCGAGCACGGGACGAGAACAGGACCTGGAGGGCTGCAGTACAGATCAGCTTCAAGATGGGTATGGCCATGGCCTCAAGGACCCAAGCATACTTTCTGCTCGCGCTGCACTGGCTTTCAAAGGGCAAGAGCTGAGCTCCCGACCTCGAGACTATAGTTCTAGTACCAGATGGTCACGTAAGTAGCCGAGGGTTGGTAGAGCCAGGGCTGCAGGTCCAGTGCAACGAAGCAGGGACACGAGCCTGGAAACCATTTCTTACACTGCTTCTTACGGAGAAGCGCTCCTGTCATCTCCTGTCCAGCATGCAGAAGCTGTAAGGAGATACGAAGGAGGGCATGGAGGGACCGTGAGATGTTAGCGAACATCTCAAACTAGCAGTACTCAGTCCTCTCGAAGTTCTGCACCAGCACTACGTCACAATGCCACTAAGACATTCCTTCAAGTTCGCCACGTTCAGTCGCAGCAACTTGTGTTCTCGGAGGGATTCAAGTTGATTGGCGGTCGTGTCATTGACAAATAGAGGAAACGAAAAAGAAACCACCTTGTCTTTCCTTGCCAAAGGATTTGCTCTGTTCGACTGTTCGGCCGCTTTGGGCTCCCGGGACGCGAGACAAAGAGGGTACGTGTGGCACCCATAACACGTCGTCACAGAAATCATGAAGGCCTGATTCAGCTTTAGCCCGAGATGGAGACTCGAGCTGCACCAGCAGCACTTCTAGGCATCAAATGACGCCCTACTAGGGCTCACTCTTGCTGCCGACCAAAAGCAGCTTCGTAAGCGCCTGCAGACTGTACCTCGATCCCGAGCACCGCTCCCATTGAACATGACGGCTTTTGGCCTTTCGACGGCTTCTACTTCCGCCTCCTCCTCGTCCCGGTACCACCGACTCCTCTCCAACTCCCACTCCCATTTTTTCTGCTACCGCTACTGCTACTACACCTACTACCACCACCACTACGACGAAGACGACGACGACGACTAACTACTACTACTGGTAGCCACCCACCGCTACCAACTACCTGGCGCCTAAACCCATTGTCGCCATTTTCGTTGGTATCGACTACACCATCACGAAAGTACTGTAAATACCGCATAACATGGATATGCCCCGCCCTCCCACCTATGCCTCACCCCACCACCCCACTACCCCACCACCCCAACACGACGACGATGCGACCACGACTACTGCTGCTACTGCTACTGCTACTGCAACACTTGCCACTGCTACTGCTACTGTCCTCCAAGAAGGGCTTGTACAACGAGCACTTCGCAGCACGTTCAACATCGCTTCCGAAATTGCTTCCTCTGCAAGGGCACTCGTAGATCGAGAAGAAGGCCATCGCTTGAGGAACAGTCCGCAACATCTGCGGCAAAATGCCTTCGGGCGGTGCTTGAAAGACTCTGCGCGATGACATTGCAAAACGACTTATGCGCCATCCCAGAAAACTGGTTTGTGAGTGCCATCGCAAATGCAGCATAAAGTCTGCTCCCGATGCGGGTGGGCGGAACCTCGATAGAAAGCTGGCAGCCCCTTCCTCATCCAAAGGAGTTGTACTGTGCGAGGGGCACTGGTGTACCTGTTGGCAGCCCAGGGCAAGCCACACGAGCTTTTGTGGATGACTTTTCTTGCAGCCGTGCAGCTCGAAAGCCTCTGCATTAGTTGGGCGCTGCTGCATGACCGACCTTAAACGCGAGTGCTGGATGAGCTTGCCCGTCTATTCCTAGGTGTTGGAAGCAGTCCATTCCATGCCAGGCTGCCGTACTACTTGGAGTGGGTAAGTAGCCTGACGGAACTCACCGGGGCTTGCTTGCGTGCTCGTTCTTGGTGCAATCATTTGCAGCATGGAGTGGCGTGCAGGTTCTCTGAATACCAAAGTTATCCGAACTTTGGATAATTAGGCACTGCTGGCACGGAGCCACTGAAGCAAAGATCTTCGCCGAAGCTGATGCTGCCAGCACCGAGTCAAACAGCAGCTTGAATTGATCCTTGCGCAACGACAGAAAACCAAGGCCGGGGTACTGTACCAGCTTTCAGTCTTAGAAGACGGATTGTGGGCTCTTAGCAACCCATGCTCTGCTCTTAAAAAATCAATGCATTCGCTCCGAGCCGCATAGGAGACCAGAAGGACCGCACCATGCGAGCAGAGAAGGAGAGAAGGACCAAAGCCTCGATAAAAGCCTCCGACGCGAGCAAAATACTGCAGTTTGGAAGTCAGAGACCGACACGACACCGATCAAAGATCAAAGGATCTGACTTCAGAACTGCTAACCATAGTTGAACCGCGAGGTTGGGTGTGAGCCCTGCAACTGCGTATCTCTGAAACTGCCAGGAGCTCTGGGCACTGGCCCTGCCTGGAAGTCCTTCTTCCTTGCCGATGGTCGACACCTGAAATAACAAGAGCTTCAACAGGCAGCCAGGGCAGGAAAGCAAAAAACGCCTCTGGACCGGAGTTCCTTCCAAAACGCATAAGACCAGAAACAGCCCCGAAAATGAAAACACCCACGAACAACACGACAGACTCCCAAGCGAGAGCCCAAGGGGAGCTTGGTTCTGGAATGCTTGAGAACATGCACGCGCTGCGGCCCAGAGCCAACAGTTAGCAGATTAACAGATCAACCCAATGATATGAACCTACCACCGAAACGACCGAAAGTTCCAAAATCAACAACGAACCTTCCAAGACTTCGCCTAGGTGTGGAAACCTGACACATACAAGAAAGCCATATCACGTGGATTGAGATTGAGTGCTACATCTATAGAACTACCACCCCTTGGACGACCTGCGATCTTACACACCTGAACCGAAATAGGGCTTGCGTCGGGCCACAGCATGCATGGCGCCACGATACTGCCGCTGCGGCTGGCCTGCCTGACGGAAACAACCAAAGCTTGCATACTACACAGTAGCTATTATAAGCTTCGCCTGCTGATGCGCTGGTGGTGGTGTTGGTGGTCGGTATTCTTGTTGTGGTCCCCGCTTCCGCCTGGGGCCGGCACGTCGGGAGATGGGTTCCTCCTTCTGGTCTTGCTCTTTGCTCTGGCAATGCTGCTGTTGCGGCCCTTCTTCTGGCGACCGCGACTGCAACAGCGCATGCTTATCATCCTCCTCCTATACTACTCGGCTACGCTTGCCACGATGATCGTTTCAAAACAGCTCCGCAGCAGCAGCGGCAACAGCAGCAGCAGCAGCAGTTGCTGTTGCTGTTGCTGTTG